TGTCAAAATTTAACAAAACTTTTAAAAATAAAATCAGATCTGATCAGAAGATCACAAAACACGAAATCACGCACCAGAGTCGTCTTCGACCACAACAATGTTCAGCCACGTCTTTAGTTATAACCTGGACTCCTTTAACACTTGTATATATTTCATCGAATGTATGTACTGTATATATATATATGTGTGTGTGTGTGTGTGTGTGTGTGTTCGTGTGTGTGTGTGTGTTTGTTCGTGTGTGCATGTGTGTGGTGTATGTATTTATTTGTATTTATTTCTTTATATGTGATATTATTAACGTTTATATTCATTTAATTATTTATATATGTATCAATACATAATTTTACGCACATACCTTCAGCTCTGTTTATTTTTTGTGTAAATTTCAACTTAGAAATAATTAATTAAGCCAGGGTGGGCAAACTTTTTTGCTGTGTCAGACATTGAAAACTATTTTACCTTTGAAGTTCCGCATATATACCTAAATAGCAAAATTTTTCGACCCGGGGTGAATTTATTTAAGATTTGTGGCTCTTTGTTTGGTCCTAATGTCTGGCTGACGGCCTCAGTTTGCCTACCTCTGAATTAAACAAAAATTCCTGTAAATATTTACATATGCGTGTATGACACAATTGTGGTTTTACGTGAATGTTTTCTAACGTCTCTCTTAAATAAACAGACAGCATGTGGGTTTTTTTTATTTACCTGTTTTAAAATTAAATAAATTATATTTTTAATAATTTAGCAAAAAATTAAAATAATTACGGTCTCAATTATATTTGGTTAGAGATTATCCGGGTTTCATTTGATTTTTAAACCTATTTAAAAAAATGACTGTTTTAGTCTGATGAAAGACTATAACACAATCATGTAAATTTCAGAGATTTTATCAATTTCTTAGAGGTTCATTATAACGCAGCTTTGTCAAACGCAAGACTGCTTATTTAAATACTTATCACTTTATACTTAAAATTAAAAGTCTCTATAAAAAAAACTGTACTTTTTGTACGACATGACTTACATACTACAAATATGCGCATGGTGTATGATGCAATGACCAGACTGACAGTATTTGAACCGAGTCACCACGTAACAACAGCGCGAGGCATGGCGCCTTTACCAAATGAGCTAACTCGCCGACTGCGTTGCTGGTGTCTCTAGATAAATAATTGAAGTTTCAATGAAATTAATTAATAATCATGTAGCAAGTAACGTTTGGTAGCGCATGGTTAAGTTTTAAAAATTCTCGACCATTCATCCAAACAAACATCCTCCTATCCAACTATCGATCCAATTCTACAAAATTGATAAATCAATCCATCCACCTATCCACAATACCTTCTTTGCATCAATTCATCCGTCAATCAATCCATTCATCCATCCATTCACTCACGCTTATATTCTGATTTGAGTGTTAGGATGCGTATGAATTTTTCTAGGCAAGGTACGACCAATTCTAATTAGGCCGAGGCTTTGAATACGTGTATTAGCTGAGGCAACTTTTTTTCTATTTTTAAATGAGGCTACGTGCTATCTTATTTGAAGTCAATTTTCTTAACAGCTGACTTGTTTTCAAGTTATTGTTAGCATGGCGCCTATGTTAATATTGTCTTCGTTGTCGTCATTATTATCTATCACCATCCTCATTAGATATTATTACCATCTTATAGTTATTAGTATTTCTTTTATATCTGCTATATTTTTATTTTTGCGTTATCTCCCTTTCTCTCTCTCTCTCTATCTCTTTTCTCTTTCTTTTTCAACAAAAAAAAGAAAGAGATAGAGAGAGAGAGAAAGAAAAAGAAAAAGAGAGAGGATGTGCATTTTTGTTGAATATTTCGAAATGGCTTTTTCGCGTTAGCACTGCATTTTAATGACCCGAATGTCATATTTTTGTTTTTTGCTTTTGTGAAAAATAGAAGCTAATTCGTTTGCTCCAGATGTAGTTTGAAAAATTTTTAAATTATGCGGATTTTTATAGTGTAATGCAGTGAGAATTGTCAAAATTGTCGAATATACTATCTGAAGCGGCTGAACTTCAAACTGGTTCTCTATTTTTTAACTTGAAATCACGTTATTTTTGTGATGAACCATTTTGTTTGTTCATTGCGATTGATATCAAATTGCTTTTTCTGTTTAGATTTCCAAAAATGGGAGAATAAAATTTAATAATTTCGCAAACTAATTCGACAAATAGAATAACTTTTTTTTTCAGTTGGTAGACCAAACTCAAAATATACCATCCTGATGAAATGTGTTTTGTTCGTTGAAAATGACGAATCAAATGGGAAGAAATAAATTGTCTGCCATAAATGTTACCACAGTGAATACTGGCCACCATTCATACTGACCAACCAACTGACCAAAAACGCCACAAAGAGGAAGTTTGATTGATAAAGAGACATGCAATTTTGCGAAAAGTACAGCGAGGACATCAGTCACCAAAAGATCAGGTGACCACCGGTCTCCATATCTACATTGCTTTGTTATTTTTCTCCAAAATAGAGAGAGAGAGAGAAAAAGAGAGAAAAAGAGAGAGAAAGAGAGAGAAAAAGAGAGAGAAAGAGAGAGAGCGGACACCATGAAGTTGTTCATCATGGGTGTTCAGTTCATGTGTGTGAAGATGAGAAAATTTTGCCTCGCTCTTGTGATGAATGAGGTTTTCAAATTTTTTTTTCAAGTTTAAAACTTTCAGATATTTGTCTTAATTAGAATTAATCATCTCTTATTTGTCATCCAAATGCTCACGTATTACCGACAAAAAGTTTTTTTACGAAAGATGTATGTGTCAGACAGGATTGAGAGAATAGGAAAGAGAGAGAGAGAGAGAGAGAGAGAGAGAGAGAGAGAGAGAGAGAGAGAGAGAGAGAGAGAGAGCTTTAAAGTATATACAGGTTAAATAAAAACTGATGTGAACTTGCAGTTGAAAGTATTACAAACAAAAAGATATATAAAAAAAAGAGGAGATGAAAAGAGAGAGAAAAAGAAAGAGATAGAAAAAGTAGGGGTATGTGTTTTGGTTCATGTGTATGTGTTTCGAACGTTAAAATCACATTAGCGAGAATAAAATCCTTTTTATCAGGCTGATATGAGAATCATCATAATCGACTTACATAGCCACGAACGAACGACAACGAGCAGGATTTATGATAGACAATTTAGAACATTTTTATCAGCTCTGCCAACTAGATGACTCGCCAGCCAGTGGTCCATAAAAAATTATTTCTATGTTATTTTCTACATTCGTTTTTTTCTTTGCTGTTGCTTTTGTATGTTTGTCTCTTTTTTTTGTTTTTTGCTTGTTTGTGTGCGTGTGTGTGTGTATTTGTTACGCAAGTATGTGTGTATCGGCTGTATAGATGTATGTGTGTGTTTATGTGTGATAATATTTTGATTATGTAATATTTCTTGCGCTTTTAATTAATGTAGGTATAATTATATCAAGTAATGTCATTTTTTCAGTTATTGCAGTAATTTAGTTAATAATAACTACCACACAGACGTATCCACTCATACACACACACACACACACACACACACACACACACACACACACACATACACACATACACACACCCACACACATACACACGCACACACATACACACACGCACACACACACTACATACTTACACATTATAAAACGAATCATAAAGTATTTATGCGTCTGAACATATGAGTAAATGTTCTTATAATGTCAAATTATACAAGCACAAAAACTTATCTGGATAATGATAAAAAGACACACGCGCATACATGTATGTGACTTTGTGTATATTTATATTGATATATAAAAGCAAAACAATACATACAATTAAACGTTCATTCGTATTCAAACAGATCATACATGTGATCATGTCATGTGATCATGTCATGTGCACATGCATACACACTTAAAAAACACATACACACATACATACAGACATAGATACACACACACACACACGCACATACATACAGACATAAACACACACACACACACATGCATATATACATAATGTGACCGAGCTAGATGCAAAATGGAGATAGAGAGTAACCAGCAATAAAATATTCTTATTATCGCGCTGCTCCAGTATTTATTTCCAAATTTTTCATCCTGTGTCTTGCGCTAGTCCATTCATTTGTTTATGTGCATGCAAACTTATTTGTTGGTTTATTTGTTTGAACCCTGGTTTGTGCGAATGTACGTGTGAGTATGTGTGTAAATGTGTGAGTGTGCGTGTGTGGTTCTTAGTGTGTGTCCATGTTCCATCCGGTACGTGTATGTCACACAAACATTAAACCGTCAGATTTTCTAGGACAAAAAAACTTTTACAAAAGAAATATTTATGATGCGCGCTTGAGCAAACTTCGTACAAACGAGTCGACCGAACTGTGGCTGAACGCTGAACACCACAGCACCACGTGTGGCCATGTCAACATGGAAAGTTCTGCTAACTATGTGCTGGAGGAAGTTTCTCAAAAATAAAACATCATCTAAAATGGTTCAGTGTCGGCTGTGTGAAACGTACAAATGTATGTTTGAACTACAATTATTGTTATTATCATTGTGAATAAATTTGCAAGTAATCTCAATATGAATAATTTTCAGCTGAAATTTGCTAAAACCAAAACAATAAACATATAAAAATAAAAAATACTAAACCAAACAAAACTAAAAAACCTTTGAATTCATCACTGATACAATAATGATCGAGCAGTCCATGAATCAGTTGAACTATCAATTTAGAAATTTAGTTTTTTGAAACAAATAATTTAATAACTTTTACTTATTACCAGAAAAAAAATCTCAAGTATTCCAGCACTTCAAAATTGTACACAACTCGAAACTCTAACTCTAATGATACTCGCGTTTGATTGCTTGGTTCATTAATATAAACATTAAAAGTGGCGCGCAATTAGCAGCAGTGTGCCACACAACACCTTTATTTTAGGTTGTATTTGAGTTTATTCTTCTTTTCCATGTCTCGTGATAAGATGGTGTGTCGATAGTTGGCGTTGAAAGATGTAATGTTTGCTTGTTTGAAATTGTGTAAAAAAAAGGGTGTTTTGGAGGTTGAAATGTTGTGTTAGCTACGCTTATGTTGATATGTTAGTGATTGGGTTTTTTTTTAAATTTGTACTCTCATATTTTAAATCAGGCATCACACCATTGTGATTTTCAAAATCATTATTTTTTTCTGTCATTGTAGGTGTTCTAGTTATATCTGTATTTTTCTATGCATGCATGAAACAATTTGTGTTTTCGTTTGATTCATGTACATCGGTCATGGTCACATGGAAATAACACATACATTCATTTTCAAATCATCGTCACTCTCTCTCTCACTCACTCACTCACTCACTCACTCATTCACTTACTCACTCACTCACTTATTCACTCATTCACTCACTCACTCACTCACTTGCTCACCAACTCACTCACTCAGTAACTTCCCAAATTTTAACCCAATCACAAACAAAAAAATTCAACAAGACTACAACTAACTACAAATAAGCACACATCCACAATCATACTTCAACGCACTTATACAAACGCTCTAAGAACTGACAAATACACACACACACACACACACACACACAAAGATCTGTATGCTTGCCTGCCCTTACAAAAATATTAGAGTAAATCTCTTCACAAACTAAAATTTATATGCATGCTTATATATGCAAACAATCATTCACCAGTACTTGCACACACAAGCAAACACAAACACACACACCTACACGCACACACATGCATACATACTACACCCACAGATTTAAACATCTTTTCACTTCACTTAAACATGAGTGTATAAGTTTCACACAAACATACAAACACATATGTACAATTACACATGCGTATTCCAAAATTAGCACTTACAGACAAACACAAAGACACACATACAAGTTCAGAAACATAAGTACAGACACCTACAAACAAACACACAAACACATACAAACAAACACACAAACTCATACAGACACACGTGCAGATAATAACACAGGCATTCAGACTCTGAAGCACAAATACAGTGACACACATACACTAGAGACCGACCGAAACTGTTTTTTTTCTTTCGGCCGAAACCGAAACAAAGCCGAAATTGAAATTTCAGTTTCGGCCGAAACCGAAATAAGGCCGAATCTAAAAAATAGGTTTCGGCCGAAACCGAAAAAAACCGAAACTAAAAAAATATTTTCGGCCGAAACCGAATATTGAAAATTTTAATAGAACATCATTTATATAACTTTTTCCGAAATTGTTGGTTGAATTGAAACATCTGAATGTTTTGAATGAGATTCATCTAATTTCGGTTTTTTGGCTTCCCTCAAAAAACTATTTTTTTCTTCAATATTTAAAAGAAACTTTGAAAACAGACCTTTGTGATACTTTTCAAGATGATTTTTCAAACCAAAAACAGTCTGGTTCTTCGGCAGTGTACTTCCTAAAGAGTATAACTTGTCACATTCATCGCAACGTGCTTTGCTTTTGTCAGACTGGATCTTTGTAAAATACTTCCATATTGGATTTAACGACATTTCAACGACTTTTGTTTAATTATTCAAATTATTGTTTACTCGATTTCAGAATTAATTTAACAAAGAAGTTTAAAATTTTTTTTATAGACAATGAAATGTTATTCTTATTATACTTGTGCGTATATATATATATATATATATAATATATATAAATAAATAAATATATATATATGGTGAGAATTTATAAATTATATCTTGTGTGTGTGTGTATATAAATAGCGCTGAACCATGAAAAATTGAGTTGAGCTTAAGTCCATCTCTGCATAAATTATGTTGATGTGTTTATCAGGCATGGTCAAATTTCAATAAAGATAAACTTTGTAAATTTTAGAGCCATATATATATATATATACATATATATATATATAGACCACCCAATACAATAAGGATTATATATACATTTATATGCACTTATATATATGAGTGTGATGATAAATGATGTAGTTTTATATAGTTATTTAAGAATATCAAACATTTTCAGCAATAATCCACTTGTAGTTCAGTTTTCCTTAGAAGACATTTATCACTTTCATGTAATTTACTCAAGTATTTTTGAAAAAAAAATATTTTCGGTTTTTTTCGGCAAATATGATTTAGTTTCGGCCGAAACCGAAAAACGGCCGAAACTGAAATATAACATTCGGCCGAAACCGAAAAACGGCCGAAACTGAAATATAACATTCGGCCGAAACCGAATCACGGCCGAAACTAGAAAAATTGGCAGTTTCGGCGCCGAAACCGAAACCGAAACCGAATTTCGGTCGGTCTCTAACATACACAGACATACGAATACACAAAATAAACACAGGCCTAATATATGCACACTGATACACTGATACACATGCACACACACACTCAGACAGACAGACAGACAGACAGACACATCAAAGGACAGACGTAATTAATACAGATTGTACGGGTGATCAGTAAATTTAGTAGTTCACAACGGGTAGACTGTTAATCAATCGGGCAGGTGAGTGATGATGATGATGATGATGGTGGTGGTGATAATGATGATGCTGATGATAATGATGATGATGATGAGGATGCTGATGATAATGATGATGATGATGATAATGATGATGATGATGATGATGGTGGTGGTGGTGATGGTGATAATGATGGTGATGATGATGATGATGATGATAGTGATGAAGATGTTGATGATGATAGTGGTAATGATGATGAAAGTGGGAGTAATTAAAGTGATGATATGATTAAAATATTAATGATATTTGTGGTGTTTATGATAGTGATGATGATGGTGATGATGGTGGACAGTGTGATGATGAAAAAAAGATGATGAAGAAAAAGATGATGATGATGATGACGGAGACAATCATAACAGTGATAAAATAAGAGTATTATTGAATTGGGTAAGAGAGATGATAATAAAAATGACTAAATTTGATAATAAAGCGATATGTGTAGAAAGTTTCATGAAAATAAACTCCAATGCTAGAAAAAATGTTATGTTAACAATAAACGTTTTTGGTATGTAAACTGTAAACTAAGCAGGTTGGTATGTTGATTTTTATATTTTAATTGGTGATAAAAAAAATGCTGTCAATGATTATATTGATTTATGACTAAATTGTTGATCAGGATTTTATTAAAAAGAACTTCTAAAAAATTTATTGCTTAAAGAGTTTGACATATGTTTTGAGATAAATTTGAAACATTGAGAGAGAGAAATTAAATTACTGAGAAAAGAGAGTGAGAGAAAGCAGTCAATTTGTATTCCTACTTTTGTTCCAGGTGTGTATGTGTTTGCGCGTTTGTGTTTGTTTGTTTGTGTGTGTGTGTGTGTGTGTGTGTGCGTGTGAGTGTGTGTGAGTACGTGTGTAGTTCGTCTTGGTTTGAAATTAAATTAATTTTTACTCAAACTAAATTTAATATTGGTCGTTACTTTTTTAAAGTTAATTTCCGCATATGGACATAACCAAAATTAAGTGATCCCTGTCTTTGGTCAATATAGGTTAATTGTATTTTCGTTTTAGAAATAGTCTCTACAACGTACTGATAAAAAAATTAATTTGAAATAATGAGATCCATAATAAAAAACTTTGAATTAAAAATATTTACCATCGCCGTTCGTCGAAGTTTCAGGATAAAAAATTTCAAACGCTTCGATGTGAACATTTGAATGTATGCCTTGCGTCACGAGTGCATTGTGCTGTTTGATTTGTGCGTGTGTGTGTGCGTGTGTGTGCGTGTGTGTGTGTGTGTGGGTGTGATTGAATTTAGAACGAACTAAAAAAAACTCTAAAACCTTGAAAAACTCGATGTCGTATTTGTAGATGATTCACGTATACGTATCCCAATAAGTTATACTCAACTATTATTTTTACCTTAGTGTGTGTGGTTGGTGATTGCCACCAAATTAGCTCAGATGGTGGCAGATGGTACAAGCCTCATCAATCTATCCAGCCCAAATATATTTTATAGACATGCGATATGGTGTAATGGTTAATTTCTTCTGGTTCAACGCTGCAGTAACCGGGTTCAAATGATAGAGCCTTGCTTACCTTCTTATTAATACTAATACCTTAACAAACCTCATCCAACCAAAGAAAAAGGATCACACAGTCATAATCAATTTCACGTTTTGTAACTTCTACCCAGCAAATGTACTACCATTTTTTATTGTTTTCAGTGAAAGCTTTTTCCAAAAGTGAATTAGTAAGAAATTTGTAAAACTAATATTATCATTTTAGACTAAAAACCGTATAATGGTTATTTATATGAACAGAAAACAAATAAATAATCGAAAAAATAATTAATGAACAGATTTATTTTATTATTATTATTAAAAAAGTAAAAATTCAGTCTATTGTTCAAATGAAGTTTTTTTTTTGTCCTCCGCTAATTAAAGCGTTTCAAAACGGTTTCCACAACAGTTATGCACTATTATAATAAATAAAGAGACAAATAGTATTTTTTCTCTGTTACTTTAACTTTTAATTTTGTGTCTCACATAAACGTTTAAAAAACACCTCAGTTTCTATTAAAGCACTTTTATATATCACTAAAAGTGGTCGGTGGTTCAATGGGTTCAAGTTTTGTCTCTTCTAATTTTGAAACTGCTTTTTGTCGGTTAAGAAAAATTTCAAAGTCCATGGAAAAATTTCAAAGTGTATGGAGCCATCAGGCGCTTTTCGCGTTGCGCAACAAACTGTATTCCATTTTTTCATTTTCTTTTGTGTTAAATAATTAATTATATAAAAAAATAATTGTGTAATATAATTAATATTAATAATAACGTGTTTGTTAATTGGTGAAATTAATTCATCTCATTCTGATTGATGTTTACAGATTCGTGAGGGAAAAATTTGATTTCTATTCAGATTCGTTGCTGAGCTTTTAGTGTGGAAAAAGTTTTTTCGAAAAAAATAATACGAAGAACTTTTTTAAAGATTAACAAAAGAATGTTGTTTAAATTATTGCTTTTTATTGAATAAATAAATATGTATATGAAGTTTTAAAAAAATGCTCATTCAGAAAATTTTGTTCGTTACAAAACGGGAATGCAAGAGGAAAGCAGGGTAACAAATTATAACGAGACCATTAATAATGGATTTCAACAATAATTTTTACTTCTGAGAATTTTTTGAAAAAATGAAAATTTACGTTAAAACAAATGTCCGCCACTATTCTTGTTGATTAAAAGACATGTAAAAAAAACCTACATTTATTTGCATGTGATAGATGGCTTTAATCGGCGACTTACGTGTGTTGAGTATTAGTGTTTAAAACGTTATAAAGTTTGATAATCGAAACCGAACGAAAAACGACTCGCCCATTATTGTTAATAATATTTTTTATTGTTTAATATTTTAACAAAACTTAAATTGTAAAATTGAATAACGCTAATAAAAAATAATGTAAAGGTTAGCAAAGAGATTGTTCAAACGTATTAAAGTGCATTGAGTTTTAAGAAGTGTTTAAGAGATAACTAAGATAACTCTCAACTTAACTTCTTTAACTTATGTGCTCGCCTATTATATATCAGTAGACTTTGCTCCCTAGAGCTTAACTAGTAGTCTAACTCCTAACCCGTTTGTCTTTATTGTAGTCACCTCATTCTTAAATACCAAGTATTATATGCTCTGGTTAATAAATTATACGTTATATTAATTTATATTAAACTGTTTTATATCTGTAAATTTGCTGTCCTGTCATGAACTACTATTATAACTTAACTATCGTTATAATTACATACCTATTTTAACATATATCTATATTAATAACAGTTGTAACGGTTACATCCAAAATATACTTATACCTCCTAACCTATATATATGATTGTATACACTTTTGTGTGTTTGTACACTTGTGTATATGCGTGGTTGTACCCAATGAAAACGCGGCGATGAGAGTGTCTAGATTTTTTTACGTGGATGTTTGTTGAGTATAATTATAACAAATGCAAGGCACGCTGTGTCGTGATGGGGTTTGATCTGTTATCATCACAAACACCACCATCATCGTCTTCACTCTCGTTAATAAACTACTACATATAATCGCCATCATCATCGTTATCATCTTAGTCATCATCATTTTTATCATCAACACCATCATCATCATTTTTTTCAAGGATATCATCGTTTATTACAATTGGCATGGGGATACATTATAATTATCAAGGTAGTCGTATAGACAAAAAAATGACCTCATAGGTGTCACCATCACAAAATTAACATCATCGTCGTCGTCATCATCGTCATCACTCTAATCATCAGCATCATCATTTTCACTGCAATCTTCATTATTCTTCTTAACATTATTCATTATTCTTCTTATTCCTTATCTCTTACAATCATCAACTCTGCTATCATCATCACAATCTTCATCTGGCAATCCTCATCGTCATCATCACAATCTCCAGAACAGTTCGTGGCTGTCACAGCTGTCATCATCATCGTCCTCATCATTATCACATCATCATCGTCGTCTTCATCGTCGTCGTCATCATCATTATAACCATCGTCATCATTTTT